CTTTCCCTTTCCTACAAAAAGTCCAGGGTTTTGCAAAAGTGGAATTAATATTCTTGACTACTGGCCACAGCTAAATAGAACTTAGCTGGGCAATTTATTCTCTCTTGCAGATATAATAAAGCTTTTTACAGATTGTTCTCTTCAGCAAAGGAAAGAAAATGTGCCTTTGGCCATCTGAAGCGCAATCTGATAGGTGAAAGATGTCACTTGCAGAGCTGGGAAAATAGAAGGGCTTCTGGCATGCAGTCTAGTCCACGGTTTTCCTTCAATAGAAAACGTTTAGGCCATGGGAGCAGATCATTCTTTGTTTCAGAACTTTGGGGGATTCTGTTCCTTGGCAGAGGAGATGAGAAAAATGTGGCGGAATTGGCTTAATTTAATTAATTCTGTACCGATTTATGTAGGAAAAGCTATGAGAGAAAAGGTGCCCAGAGGGTATGGAAAGACGCCCATGGAAGTTGGACTATATGCAAATGTAGTGGGTAAGAGAACTTTGTTGGGTCTTTTGATTGCTTGGTTTGTTGGTTCTAGATTTTCATCTTATTTTTTTAAGGTCATATAGACACATAGGTAAAAAAATTGAAGAAAGTATACAGTATCCCCCTCCCACCTTTGATGCCCAGTCCCACTTGCCAGGGGCAATAACCAGTTTTTTAAATCCTTCCACAAATAGTCTTAGGCTGGCATCTAAACCAATGGTAGCAATGGCAGCGTGCCACAGATAGGCCAGCCTACATTTTTTTTTTTCACTTAATATATCTTGGAGATTTTTAAAATATCAATCAAGAATGATCCACACTGTGTCCCAAAGCCCTTTACGATCACCTCTTATGCTACTTTATGGTAAGCAGACCCACGACCTTGACCAACAATGAGAACCGTCCCAGCCAATGCTGGCATAGGGCCAGCCACATTCTAGACACGGTGCTAAGCAATTTACCTGCTTTGTCCAACACAAACACCACTAACTCCCAATTTACGTTGTTCCCATCTCACAGATGAGTCTGTGCCAGGCTCGGAGCCAAGGCAGCGTGTTTCCACAGTCCAGGATGGTAAGTGCTCTTTGCAAAGTCCAGAGGCTGCACGCCATTGTGAGGGCAGCTGGCTAAGCCACTGCCCTCAAGTGATCGGAGATTCAGTTTACAGGCTCAATAATTCTTCCTTGTCTTTTGCTCAGAAACCGGACTCTCCCAGGAGATACATTATGCTACCCCCATGTTCCAGGAGGTGACACCAGATCACGGTGAGCCAGTTTTGGATAAGAGATGCTACCGAATGAGACGTGGGCCCTGTGAGGCCACCATACTCCAAGGCTTAAGGAGCCCAAGGATGGGGTGAATGGGGGCAAGATGTACACCCCAGGAGACCAAAAGCAACCAATACCACAGGTCCCAACAAATATCATCAGGAGAAGGATGGGTGGAGGGAGAAGAGTATGACAGGGAGACTGTCATATAAAACATCCAGAGAGGAGGATGCAGGGGCACTTCTAAACCATTTTCAAAAATAAATTACTTCACATAGGCCGGGAAAAAACAGTTAACAGTTGGTTCTGTCAGTCCACCCAGCTACTAAAGTAGGATTTTTTTTTTTAGAGACTCTATGGATATATATTCTAAATTCACTGAATTATTTTATATTTCAGAAGCCCGTAAAGATGATAAAACTGGATATGTCTATTCCGAAATCGCCTTCTGAAATATAAAGATACAAACTACATCTCAGGGTAAGATGAGTTTTATAAAGCTGATTTACATGGAAGAAAAAAAAAAACTTGATTGACACTTTATTTATTTATTTATTTTGACTGACACTTTAAAATGTCTCTCCTGGTGACTTAAAGTAAATCACTGTTTTTCATAATTAAACTTTGGCACATTCAGGCACCTCCAATCCTGTCATCAAACAACAGTTTTGTCAGGTGGGATTATAACTGGTGGCAGGTTTTAAATGATTTTGCTTATTTTTAGGTATCGACCATTCTCTCCATTTCCACATCATTTTAAAAAGAATAAATGTTAGACCACTGTGCTCTTCATAAGTGCATTCTGAAAGCATAATGCTCGTCTTTCGGGTCTCCCCGTCCCCAGGTCCACTGAAGGTTTAGAAGCAAATAGACAAAGCAAAAACCATGTCTAAATTCTAAAAGAAAAATTGGTGACCTTGAAGATTGTCTGAAGAAAACACAGTCACCATGAGAGCAAGGGAAGATTACCCAACAAGTACACATGTATTATTCATTGCCATTTAAATCCGCTCTCAGATTTTGGAAGGCTGCAAAAATATTTATATTGATTTTCATGGACTTTCTCAGTCCTCAAGATTTAGCTAATGTCAAAAGTGAGCCTATAGGCGCTGCCTTTCCCATGGGTGTTCTGTGAAGAGAACGGCCTAGAGTTGAGTTGGGGAGAAGGGAGAATGGGTTAGTTTCCTAAGACTGTTGTAACAAATTATCACAAACTGGTAATTAAAGCAACAGAAACTTATTTTCTCACAGTTCTGGGGCCAGAAATCCAAATCAAGGTGTCAACAGGACCGTACTCCTCCAAAGTCCCTAGGGGAGAACTTTGCATACGTTTTCTAGTTGCCATTAGCTCCTGGTGCTGTCTGGCTTGTGGCGGCATCGCTCCAATGTCTTCCTCTGTCTCCCAAGAACACTGGTCACAAGATTTAGGAACCACCAGGACAATCCAGGATGAGCTCATCTTGAGATCCTTAACTTGTCTGCAAAGGCAAACACGCGCAGGTTCCAAGAGTTAGGACTTAGAGGTATCTTTTGGGGGAGTCACAATTCAGCTCACTACAGGGGACAAGTGAGAGAGAAATAACACCTGTGTCATGGAGCTGCTATGAGAATTAACTCAGGTAACAAACATAAAGGGTTTGGAACAGAGCCAGGCATGTAATAACTTAAAAAAGGCTATTCGTAGTATGATAATGCTCACTCTGAGTCATACTGATTGGCTGCTCCCCTTAGAAACCTTTAAGTCTTTGAGGTCATAAAGCTGGCCACCATTGGCTTCTTTATGTCTTAATCTGAGCTCCTCCCTGAAGCAGAGCCTGAGACATGCACCTAGGTACAGGTTGTTCATATGGGAGCAGGAGTAAAGGCCTAGGGAGAGTGAAACAAGAAGGAAAAGAGGCCAACGCGAGGTGCGGGGAGGGACTAACAAATGAGTGTGACTATTCTGGTAACTGGATTTGATCCTGTTAAGATCTTCCAAGGTCTTGAAGCCCAGGCCTCTGAGTTTCACAGCATTCCCTAAATGAATAGCCTTTCATTTTCTCCTTGCAAAGCTTCCAAAGCATTTAGAAGCCAATCAACTCCATAACCTATGTAATTACCATTGCTCATGCCTTTCAAGTGCTAGAACTATTGCATAACCTAGTACTCACCACCTTTGCAGGGGAAAAGTCTTAGTAATCGTGAAGCTATGGCATGTGAGAGTTATCGCTACCAAACCCCCTTATCACCAGCAGTAGAATACTTGTTGTCACCCACCCAGGGAGCAATTCCCTTTCCCAGGGCTGCTTTCTAGGACCTTCTGATACCCTATCTTATCATGGGCTAGCTCTGAAAGCAGAGCCTGAGATAAGGCCTTCTGTGCAAATAATTTATTTGGGAGGTGACCCAAGGAAACAGATATGAGGGGACTGGAGGAAAAGGGTATAGTGTTGAGTTGGGCACTGCTGTGGGCAACTGGGGCTTGATCCCACTGGAAACCTGCTAAATAATTATAAAAAAGTCTCAGAATTGTCCATTTGAGGATGATAGTGAGAAGCATTTAGCCATTGGCTGAGGGTCACCACAGATGATGTCCCCCACTTCTGGGCTGTGCGTATGCGCATTCCAAGCGTGTTCCTATTGGCTTCTTACTCAAGACACTGAAAAGCCCTAGGGCAGAAATGTGTTGTACACCTAAAGCATGAAACTGTCAACAGAGTGAGGGAAGCCTCAAATGCAGCTGCAATCAGGGGATGTGACGCAGGATAGAGAAGTCGCTGTTACGCCATTTCTCAACGCTTCCTTTATAAGGACATGACAATAACTGCCATGTGTTGAGCACGTACCAGGTTCCAGGGACTGTTCGGTGCTTTGTGTACTTATCCCACATGGCCCTCACAACTCCCCCCACACTCAGCTCCACCCTACCTACCCCCACCCCGACCCTCGGCACAGACATTCAGCCTCATCCAAGGCGTCTGGATTGAATTGTTTAGGAAGGGAAGAATAGGATCTACTGAATTTTCGTTTCAATATCTACTTTTTTCATGTCTAGAAGTTTCACTTTGGTTTTTTTTTCAAATCTGCATTTTCTTTAAACATCTTTTTTGTTGTGAAATAGAGCACAAGTCATACGAAAATGCATATAAATATAGTTTAATAAATTATATCAAATGATCACTAGTGATGGAATGTCACCAGCAGCCCAGAAGCCCTCTGCAGGCCTCTTCCCAATCACAACCCTATCTCCCCAACTTAATTACTCTTTTAGGGAACATTTAGGTTGTCGACAGTGTGCGGATATTACAAATAACAGGGCTATGACTATTCTTACGCTACAAACGCAGCTCCTGGTTCCTATATGCATACAATTATGTTGAATGTGTGTAGGAATGAATTACTGGGTCATGGGGTATGTTTATTTTCAATCTAAGCAGACAATGCCATACTATTTTCTGAAGTGGTTCTATTCCCATGAGCAGTCTGAAAGTTCCCACTCTCTTACATCTTCACCAACACTGGCACTGTATGTCATTTTAATTTAACCATCCTTGTGGTTATATAGTGGTATCTCATTGTGATTTTAATTTGTGGTTCCCTGATGCCTAAGAAGGCTGAGCATCTTTTGCTATATTTACAGGTCATTTGGATTTTTTATAAAGTGCCTATCTGAGGCTCTTAGTCTCTTTTTCCACTCAGGTGTTTTGACTTTTCCTTATTTTTTAATAGTTGTTCTCTGTAGCTTGATTTTTTTCACTCTCTTGATGATACTTTTTGATGAAGTTTAAAGAACTTGTCTACTATGGTGAGTGTTTTTTTGTATGTGCATCCAGATGAATATTTTCTCAACTCAAGGTCATATTAACTTTTATTCTATATTACTATCTACTAAAGGCTTATTTTCATATTTTGGTTTATACCCACCTGCAATTGTCTGATGGGAAATTGACATCACATTTCTTCACCTTCTGCTGCGTAACCAGTTACTCCAGCACTGTCGACTGCAAAGACTGTCCCTTCCCTACTAAACTTCAGTGTTATTTTTGTCACAAATCAAATGTCCATATACATGTGAGCTTCTTTATGGGCTTTAGGTTCCATTTCATTTTTCTATTTATCTCTCGTGTTGATACCATACTCAGCTTTTAAATGTCTTGATAACTGGAAAGCAAATTCTCCCACCTTGTTCTTTTTAAGAATGTCTTAGATATTCTTAACCTTTTACATTTCCATATAAATTACAGTCAGTTTGTTATTTTCTTAAGAAAACTGAACATAATAGCGATTCCAAGTGATACTGCATAGATCACTTTGGGGAGAATTAATATTTTTTACGATATTGAGCTTCCCAAACTACAAATATCTCACCATTTGTTTATATCTTCTTCATTTCTTTCAAGTGTTTCATAATTTTCTGCATACAGATCTTACACATCTTTTGTTAGACTTATTCCTAGGTACTTGGTAACTTGCATTTTTATTTTGTGTTGTTGATAAATACAAAACGATAATTTTTCTTGGTTGACTTTGTATCCAGCAATGTCACTAAAGTCTCTTTTCAATTTTAATAATTTATCTGTAGGTTTTCTTACAATCTAGAGACCAGAGAACTACTGCTGCTACTATTAATGGTGGTTACCTCTGCCCCGACTGCCTCACTTCAGAAACTGGAACCCAAGCAGGCGAATGTGGAGCTTTGCCACTGCAGACACTTGCTTCTCGGGGAAAGCCACCAACTCTCTTCCTTTTGTTCACCACCATATCCCTCGGACCTTCCACTTTCCAGAGCCCTTGCATGAGCATCTATATTGGTCGAAGATATTCACAGCCGTCCCCTGGCAGTAAGGGAATGGTAATTTTTTTAGGTCTCTGCTCCACCAAATAGGAGGGTTATGATGTGATTTACAAGAGCCATTCAAAATATCTTCCAAACCAGTCAAAATACCAATTTAGATTGAGGGTGAAATAAAGACATTTTAAGACAAAGACCAAGAAGGAGGTTTTCCAATCACACATTCTCACTGAAAGA